GAAAATGTGTACTATGATGATAAGTTTGCAGTGTACATACTTACTGATTTTTTAAAATCAGACTTTAGGACCTTCCTTAACTGACATATTTAACTTGATCACAACGTATGCTCCATAAGGGTGGGGACTTTGTGGTTAGTGTTTTTCTGTCTATCCTCAGCATCTATTCTTTGCATGTATTTGGCCCTTGATAAATATTGGTTACATAGATTGATTAATAATTACAACAATTATTAGAAATATGAATTAGAAGATAGTTATCTGGCCTTGCAGACAGTGGTGCCCTGGAGCCATCTGCACTGCCCAGCCATGGTCAGCCCCATCATGTTTTTTGACATAGCCCTGGACAGCGAGTCCTTGCACTGCATCTCCTTCTAACTGTTTCCAGACAAAGTTCCAAATACAACAGAGAACTTTGGTGCCTGAACACTGGGGAGAAAAGATTTGATTATAAAGTTTCCTGCTTTCATAGGATTATTCCAGAATTTATGTGCCAGGGTGGTAGTGGCAAGTCCATTGATGGGGAGAAATTTGATGATGAGAATTTCATCCTGAAGCACAAGGCTCCTGGCATCTTGTCCATGACAAATGCTGAACCCAACACATATGGTTCCCAGTTTTTCATCTGCACTGCCAAGCCTGAGTGGTTGGGTGGCAAGCATGTGGTCTTTGGCAAGGTAGAAGAGGGCATGAATATTGTGGAAGCCTGGAGTGCTTTGGTTCCAGAAATGGCAAGACTAGCAAGAAAATCACAGTTGCTGACTGTGGACAAATCTAATAAATTTGACTCCTGTTTTATCTTAACTGCCAGACCATTCCTTCTGTAGCTCAGAGAGCACCCTTCCACCCCCATCTCCTGGAAATAGCCTATAATCTTTGTGCTCTGACTGCAGTTCTATGAGTTCCATATTTTCCTTACTCACCTCCAAGTCTAACTGGATTGTAGAGTTAAGTTTATGATGGTGAAATAAAAATGAAACAACAACAAAATGAAGATAATTTGCTAAAAATGTGTTCCTGATTTGTTTCATCAACCTCTGGCTGTCATTATAGCAAGAAAACCCAGTAAATTTAAAGAGCATATACTTTATGGGCAGCGCGGATGGCTCAGCGGTTTAGCGCTGACTTCAGCCCAGGGCCTGATCCTGGAGACCGGTGATCAAGTCCCATGTTGGGCTCCCTGCATGGAGCCTGCTTCTCCCTCTGCCTGTGTCCCTGCCTCTCTCTCTCTCTCTGTCTCTGTCTCTGTCTCTCATGAGTAAATAAATAAAATTGTTTTTAAAAAAGAGCATCTACTTTTATTTGTTTATAAAAACTCTCAGTTTATATTAAGAAACGTTCAATCCTCACCCTGAGTTCTAGCATTTTTATATCTGTGTTCCACTTAGTCTTCAACATAACATGTCCAATCCTCTTTGATATCATCTTTCACTCAAAATGAATTGACCTTCTTGTCTTCCTCATTTTATTACAGGCACTACAGTTTTTCTAACCACCAAATCCTGCAAACTTATGACAATTTTAAAATGTCTTCTTGTTTCATCATCTCCAATTAATTGTCTTAGACATTGAGGACATCTGTTAACCACATTTATTTTGATAACAACCCAATTGGACATGGCAGAAATCCATATACAGATGGGGAGATGGTGAGTCACTCCCAAGAAGGTTTAAATAACCATTATTCAGGGCCAGATCCTTTCACAATTTCCCCATTAGCTCTTTCTATAGCATTTACTCTATTTTATGTTTTTCCTGACATAAACAATGCATTTAATATCCTATATTTTAATTTTATGGATCTGTGTTTTAGTTGAATTGTGTCACTTGTGCTTAACATGTTTTGAGCTACAGTAAGCCCTTTGATGTCTCAGCCTATGGCTTCTGTGGGGCCACCCCATAAGGTGGCTCTTTTTACCAACTCTGAAAGGTGAATAGCTATAGCATATCCTATTTACTATATTCCTTCTGGACAGTTCCTTTCAGGGCAATTACCATTATCATTTTGAATCTGCCTAATGATCACAGGTAAATCTCTAGCAAGCATCTACAAGATTCTATTACACATTTTTCTGCTGTGCTGTATTTGTACCTCAAGAGCAATTCTAACTATTAGGCTAAGGAGAATTATCACTAATCCCCTTGAATCCACAGTCAAGGTGAAAAGACATGCCAACAAACACCAATTTCAGGAGAATCTGGTGGAGATGTGTAATGGGAACCTATGATACCTATAAGGAGTACCAAAGACAATGTTCAAAAGTCTGGAAAGCTTCTTTTGGGAGGCAGGGCACTCATATTTTTATTGATATATATTCACATAACCTAAAATTCACCACTTAACCATTTTAAATTGTACTATGTAGTGCTATGTAGCATATTCACAATGTCGTACAACCATCACCAGTACTTAAGTCCAGAAAGTTTTCATCACCCCAAAAAGAAATCCCATACCCGTTTTAAGGAGTCATTTCTCATTTTCCCCCTGTCCCGTTTCCCTAGAAACCACTAATCTATTTTCTGTCTCAATGCATTTGCTTATTCTGGACATTTCCTATAAATAGAAACATATGAGTAGATTAGTCTTTATCTAGTAAGTTCAATGTTTGGCTTCCTTAGGGACAGTTTCTATTTATTGCTACTCCCCTCCTGTTTGTGGACAATACTCTCTTAATTATTAGTATGCATCATATTTTTTGTTGAAAATTGAAAAATTTTAACATGATAACGTGGCAACTCTGGAAATCAGGATGTCTGGAAGCCACTGCCCCCAAGCCGCCCCCCCCAAGGTTTTATGTTGTTCCTTATTGTTGCTATTGTATGGAAATCTGGTGGCTTTTCTCAAATAATTTGTGAAGCCTATATTATCTGTCAGGTGTGGCCACTAATGTTTCTGTAAGTTTAAGTGGGAGTCAGAGGCTGGACTGAGATTCGCTTAAACACCTGCAAACAATAAACTCCCAGTCTTTGCCAGTGGCCTGGGTGTGTGTTGGGCATACCTTCAACACTCAGCTAAGTAGTTTACAACTCTGCCTTAGCCTTTACTTCCTGTGTAGATCCTTAAGATCAGTCAGAATGAGAACTTGGGGACTTCTTAATTCTTTCTTGAGCATGTGCTCTCTGGGAATTCACATGACTTTCTAGATTTCTGTGAATATATTGGAGCTTTTAAAAATATGTGTTTCCTGGGGCACGAGGGTAGCTCAGTTGGTTAAGCAACCGACTTAATTTAGGCTCAGGTCATGATCTCAGGGTCCTGAGATCCCCACTTGGGCTCCACATTCAGTGGAGAATCTGCTTCTCTCTCTCTCTCTCTCCTTTTCCCTGTTTCCCTCCCCTCACTTGTGTGCGTGCGCTCTCTCTCTCAAATAAATAAATAAATCTTAAAATAAAACATGTATTTCCTCAAAGCATCTCATTCCCTGGTCTTGTCTCCCAAGCTTTTTAATTAAAAAGTGATTTTCTCCAAGTGTTATCCATTGTTTCAGACAGCTAATACACCTCCCTATTAAGTGTTTTTGACAAATGCCCCAGAAGGCTGCCACAGCACTGGTACAGTTCTAAGGTAAGATAAAGGCAAAGCCATCAGCTGGTCTTCCAGGGAGCCATTTGAAAGGTCAAAGCAAATGGCCACAATTCTTTGTTAATGAGTTCTTTTCTGTTCCCTCTGGTACTGGTACCAATCCAAGAATTGTGGATTAACTGGGGAATGTGAAATGAAAACAGCTTAAGTTTGGGGTGCCTGGGTGGCTTAGTCAGTTAAGCACCTGACTCTTGATTTCAGTTCATGTCATGATTTCAGGGTTGTGAATTCGAGCCCTGTGTCGGGCTCACACTGGGCATGGAGCCAGCTTGGGATTCTCTCTCCCTCACTTTTCCTCCCCTCCATACCCCCCCCAAAAAAAAGAACAGCATAAGTTAAAACATCACAAAGCTCTGTTTTTACCAAGATTCAGATGATTTTTCTTACTTAAATCTTACTCTCATTGTTGCAAGCTGTTGGTCTGTTTCCAGAATTCAGAAAAGGTTGATTCTGACAGTTTTTATAAGATTCCATTGCCTTTATGGAAGGATGAACTTTTGGATTTCTTTACTCTGCCATTTTCACTGACAACACTAGAAAAACTTTTAAGATGATGTTACAATTAAGCTGGGTTTTAAAAATCCAGCAGGAATTAGTCAGGTAGAAAGTTGAGAGAATAAACCAGATAGAGCATTTAATCAAAAGGCCCAGAAGTACAATGAGAAGACTAACATATGCTGGGAAATGACCCTAGTTCAAAAAGGTTGAATTATAGAATATGATTTAGTAAAAATATATGCATTTTAGAGGAGGTAGGATGAAGTTTCACAGTTCCTTATACCATAATACAATACTTCGACTTAATTTGGGCAATGCGTACTGGATTATTTAAGGCAAACGTGTTAATAAAGCAGACTTGTTAAGTCATTTCTGTAAGCATTATGGAAAATGATAGTTTGAGATTGAGTTTAGGCAAGGGATTTAGTAAAGAGACTAATACAGGCATTATAAGCATAAGAGATGATGAATGAAACTGAGGGTGTGACAGAAAATGGAGTGGAGAGAGTACTTAGAAACTTAGTACATAGAGTGAGAGATAGTAACATCCAGTTGTTTCAGTGTATGGAGAGAGGGAAGGCATGGCAATGAGGAATAAGTGTAAGGAAAATGTCTAGAATGATGCTGATATTTTGGCTTCAGAAAAGTGAGAGGGCATTGATATTGTTCACTGAAATTAAGAAAATTCAGCATGAAGTAAATTTGGAGAAGAAAAGGAAAGCTATCTGAATTCAGATTTGAACATTATGAGATTAAGTTGTTCATGAAACATGCAGAGGCATATCCAATGGACCCTAGAAGACACAGGTTTGATGTTCAAGAGGGAATTTGAAGCTGCCAAAGTTGATTTTGGAGACTAACACATATCTGTGATAAGAGAAATTGTGGATAAAATAAAATCATTAGAGATAAAAATATAGTGCTCACTTTGGCAACACATATACTAAAACTAGAATGATATAGAGAAGATTAGCATAGTCCCTCTACAAGGATGACACACAAATTCATGAAACGGTCCATATTTTTAATCCGTGGATATGGTATTTTGTGATCTTTTAAATAAAAGAAAACCTTACAAAGAAAAAAGGGAATAAGAATATAGTGAGAGAAGATGATTAAGGCTACCCTAGAACTCTAACAATTGAATAGATAATTTATTATTACTATTCCTAGCCAAATTGCATCATACAATAAGGTCAATGAATAAATTTATTCACACTAATGTATGAAGCAATTACACCATTCTTTCCAAACTTTAGAACTAGTAAAGTTTTCATATAGGCAATCTAGAAAATTTTCTGATGGGAGATTAAGTCTGAAGGGAGTTTTGTCCCAATATTATAGAACTATAGTTCTCATTTATATGATAGAACAGTTTACCTGGGACAACCATTGTTTTGTTCTTTTTTTTTTTTAAATCTAGGTCATCAGTATGAATTTAATTTTTAATATTGTGAGCTGCAAGAAAATTAAACTCTTCTAAGAAAATAAGCCAAGAGAGTCCCGAAATATAATTGAGAGGAAAACGGCTCTTGGAAAATGTGAGGTAGGGTTAAATCTCCCAGGATTAGCCTTAATCCCAATTTTAATGCATCCTAACATTACAGATTAAAAAATTACATCGAAAGACATAGCCCAAGCTTTGACTAATAAATGATAAATTTCTTTCTATTTAAACGTTCAGGTTTTTGTGGACAAGAACTACACTTTAGATTTTTTTTAACTAGCATCATGATTACATCTTGTAATATTGCAATGTATGCCACAAAATACTATATATTTGAAAACAGAAATATGTTACTTGTACTTAAATAAAGATTGTAAAGATGAGTGTGTCTAGTGTCTTAAAAAATAAGCCTTATATATAGCCACTAAATTTTGGTTTCCTGTAATTTTCATGTGTCACACAATAGGATACTTTTGATTCTTTTCAATATCGAGGGTATAAAATACCCTCAATTCACCATGCAAAACAAGCAGAAGGTCACATTGGGTATTTGGAATATAGCTTGTTGACTTCTGATCTAGGACCTAAAATCTCCGTTTTTCTTTTCTTTTTTTTTCTTCAAACTGAATATATGCAAGTAGCATATGCACAGGCTAGGATCTAGCACCTAAAATCTCCGCTTTTCTTTTCTTTTTTTTCTTCAAACGAATATATGCAAGTAGCATATACACAGGCTAGGATTGAGTTTTCTGGATTCTGAACACTCCGAGGTTGGAACAGTTTGCTTCTCCCCACCCCACCCCCCACCTGGCATCATCCTATTCCTCTTATTTGACGTGAAATAAATGATTTCGTTGTTTTTCTTATTGTGCTTCATAGGCTCAAAAACGTAGTTTTTGAAATTACTGCGTACATTATGACTAAATAAAAATATCGATGACATTTTTGTTCTGGCTGGGTACTAGACATTATCCAAAATCAAATGATTCAGATTTCTTTTTTCTGAATATCTTTAATGTAGCAATATTATGAGAAGCCCAATTTATTTACTGATATTGACTTAACCCACAATGTGGATGCATAATCAGTTTAAAATTTCATATGCATTTTAATTGTTCACAAAGGAGCATAGTAACAGAGTTTATCACAGGGTCAAAATAAATAAAGCACATTATTTGTTCTGTGCTTACAAAGCTTAGGTGTTTAAAGACCGGAGAGGGGATCCCTGGGCAGGCACAGCGGTTTGGCGCCTGCCTTTGGCCCAGGGCGCGATCCTGGAGACCCGGGATCGAATCCCACATCGGGCTCCCGGTGCATGGAGCCTGCTTCTCCCTCTGCCTGTGTCTCTGCCTCTCTCTCTCTCTGTGTGACTATCGTAAATAAAATAAAATAAAGACCGGAGAGGTGTTTTTTTTTTTTTTTTTTTTATGGCTATAAAGCACAATTAGCTTATATCTGTCATTACTTAATAAATACATATATAAAAAAAACAGATAATTGTATTGATTTTATTTTGGCTACTTAAATAGTGTACTAAACATTGAAACATTTGTTTCCCTGAATTATGTGTTTAGTTGTGCTAACATTTCTATATATTTAATTATATAGGTGATAATACTTTAACAGACCTTGATATATTAAAGCATAATGGTTAAGAGCACCAGGTCTGCAATTAAGCAAAATTATAGATCTCAAATCTACTTCTTACTAGCCATAGGATCGTGTTTTTTTTTGTTTTTTTTTTTTTTTTTTTTTTGCCATAGGATCTTGTACAATTTACTTATATGTGACTTGGATTCCTCTTCTTTGCATAGAGGCAACAATTTAGCTCAGAGAACGTTAACATTTAGAAGAGTTAATATGTACAAGTTGTTCACAACTGTTTCTGTTAAATTTTCAGGACAATACATGTGAACTTTTTACATATATTTAAATAAGTTGATAAAATATAGTCATAAACATGCTTATTTTTAGTTATCTATTTCATCCCACCCAGCAAGTATAATATAGGAGAAAATAATTAGGATCCATTAGAGAAGATTTCAGGCAAATTATTCGATGCATTAGGAATATTTTTACATCATACAAGTAACCTACATTGAAAATGAGATCTGAAGGAAAATTCCTACCAGCAGAAAGCAGTTAAAGGCACTGTGGAATTTTATTCCAAATCCTTTTAAAAAGACATACTCATATCCATCCATAAGCATGCTTTTGTTTGTATTGAGTTTCTTTTACCTTCAAATATTTTAAGTTAGAAGACTGATCTGTCTTCTTTTGATGTGAATAAATCCCCTTTGGTTGAATGCTGCCATCTCCTTGGTTGTGGAAGCATGTTAATGAGAAGGTTATATATAAAACTCTAAATTATCTTGTATCATGATCAAGAATATATAGTGGTCACAAAAGTGGATAGAAATAATAAGGTGTCAAAATAGAATTAAAAAGGGATGGGCAGCCTAGGTGGCTCAGCGGTTTAGCACCACCTTTGGCCCAGGGAGTGATCCTGGAGACAGGGCTCCCTGCATGGAGCCTGCGTCTCCCTCTGCCTTTGTCTCTGCTTCTCTCTCTTTGAGTTTCTCATGAATACATAAATAAAATCTTAAAAAAAAAAGAAAAAGGGAAAGCATGAACTTTTTATTAGAAAATATTGCCATATATCTTTAATCTATTAATGAAGATTCATTGTAAAGAAATTTATAGTTTGGAATCTTCCAGAACAAGCATAAGGCAAATAAATACCTCTTGATAAAAAGCAAATAATCCCCAAATATTTTATTTCTTTCTTTTTTTTTTTAAGTTTTATTTATCTATTCATGAGAGACAGAGAAAGAGAGAGAGAGAGAGAGAGAGAGAGGCAGAAACACAGGCAGAGGGAGAAGCAGGCTCCATGCAGGGAGCCTGATGTGGGACTCAGTCCTTGGACTCCAGGATCACGCACTGGGCTGAAGGCAGGCACTAAACCGCTGAGCCACCCAGGGATCCCCCCAAATATTTTCATATACAGCTGGTTGCGTTTTGTTGTTGTTTGGGAGTACCTTGCTGTCATTGTTGCCATTGTTCTTTTTAAGGGACTATAAAATATTTGGCAGTGATTGGTTTTCAGTGTCTAAGATAAATGTACCATCTCTAAGGTAAATCTCTCCTAACATCTTAAAATTAATTCCTATTTTATAATTTTGAGAATATCAATTCATACATTTCAAAATCAATTTTTCTTTAAAGGCGTAATTGAATGGCATCAAACAATTGCTATTTAATCATATCAGTGGTAAATTTTGACAAAACATTTTTCGTGACAGCTTATGAACCCATTTCCCAATGTAAGAACTATTCATTAATAATGGCTTATCTATATCTAGATGCTACATTGTCATCACTTATCTACCTCTCCCCACACCCAAATAACCATTTTTTTAAAGATTTTATTTATTTATTCATGAGAAACAGAGAGACAGAGAGGTAGAGATACAGGCAGAGGGAGAAGCAGGCTCCAAGCAGGGAACCTGACATGGGACTTGATCTTGGGTCTCCAGGATCATGCCCAGGGCCAAAGGTGATGCTAAACCACTGAGCCACCCAGGCTGCCCCCATTAATTTTATTATATTGCTTCTTTTTATATTTTCATCAAATTATATAATTTGTGCTAGTCATTTGTAACTTAAAAAAGTTATGCCATAATGTACATTTCAATTTTGCTTATTTTACTCATTATTTCACCAACCTGTGTTGTTATATGTATAAGCATATATAGAGAAAATAGTGTTTATTTTTTTCATTTTTGCTTTAAAAATATTCTTTTTTTTGATTTGTTGGTTGTTAGAAATTTTATTTAAAATTAACATTTGCTATGCTTATTTACAGAGAATTTCTACCCAAGAAAGCATTTTATAGCTTGACTTTTTTTTGGCTATATGCTGCTAAATGCAGCAAGGTAAACTGATTTCTAATCTAGTTTTAGAGATGATATATTTATTATAAATAAATAAAATTCATTCCAAGAACAATTGATAAGGTTCTCCTAAATCTACATTTCTTCCTTATTGAATTAGATAGGCAACCAAAATTTCTTTTGGTGGCTTTAGTTAATGGTCTCAGTGGGAAGAGAATAATGCAAACCTAAGTGTAAAAAATGCACTTTTACTAAATTAAAAAGAAATTTAATACTGTTCAAAATACCAAATTTAATAAGTCTTACCAAAAGGTTTAAAACTAGGGTTGCCTGGGTGGCTGGGACTTCTGGGTGGCTCAGCGGTTTAGTGCCTGCCTCTGGCTCAGGGCGTGATCTTGGAAACCCAGGATGGAGTCCCACATCAGGCTCCCTGCATGGAGCCTGCTTCTCTCTCTGCCTATGTCTCTGTGCCCCCCTCCCCCCCCCGTGTCTCTCATGAATAAATAAATAAAATCTTAAAAAAAAAGGTTTAAAAGTAATGTAACCATTTCTTTTAATTTACATCTGACACTTCAATATAAGATTTGGCTCAGACGCATGGTTCATTTAATCAAGTAGGCTTTTGTCAACACAAGTCCACTGACATCTAGTTGTTTATATTATACAGAGGTCTCAAGTTTTATAGC